TATCTACAAATAAATATTCTGGACATGGAATTGATGACAGTACAATTTTGTCTTGTGAGTACAGGCTTTTTACTAATTGGACTGAACTACTGGTGTCCCTGTTAGCCTGTAAGCTTTTGATGGCCATAAATTCCATCCGCTGCTTGGCATTTCATCTGTGTCTGGCCACTAACATGCAGGGAAAAGAACAAGCGACGCGTCAGTTAGTCCGAGTGCCTTGCCAACTCCTCCCCCATCAGTCTGCCCAGAGCCCTTCTCCACCCATTACTGTCGTGATCAGTGGCCTGGGGAACTGATCTCTGTGGACTGTCTCCCCTGAGCTTCCTTGCTTCCTGGCTCACCAAGGGTGTCTGTCAGCAGCAGGGACCAGCAGGAGATGAGTCTGTGGGAGGAGAGATGGTGTGGTATTACCTCGAAGACTTCCTTCCTAGCCTGCAGTGGGAGTGGCTATCGCTTCCATTAAGCACCTCCTTCAAAGGTTCCAAGACTACAGGATGGAACACCCTCGTCTTCTCAGGTGGAGGAGCAGGAAGAGCTCCTGCCATGAGTCCCTGGGCGCGTCACCATCTTCTAGTGTCACTAATGCTGCTGCCCACATCCCTGTCCCTAGACTCTCCATTAAATTAAGATGTACTGTCTGATAATACAGCACTTGGAGCTACTAAGACTCTTTGGAAAAAGAAGACATATTTCACATACTTACTATGAAGCATAAACTCTTTGCTTAATTCTAAGAGTTAAAATAAAGCCAGGACAGTCTTCAGATGGTCACTCGGAAGACTTCAGTTGATGCCAAGAGTAAAAGAAAAAATCTACGAGAATTTGAAAACTGGAACAGTTTGAAACAGTATATGTTTTCAAAATCTTTAAGAAAATTATAATGCCTCTCAGAGAAATATTAGTTCTCTCCCATTATGGAAAGTAACACATGATCAGTAACTCCTAGAGAACATCAGCACACATTTGGGGAACAAAAGAGAATTCAGCTCTGGAGTCAAGCCAACCCAAGATAGAGCAACAAATACTTCACAAAATAAACCACCAAACAAAGGCCAGGAAGCGGTGTCATCTATAACAAGGTGAGAAGCACAGTGGAGTTGGCATTGACGCCAGCTCTTGGCAAGTTCAGTAAGACAAGAGCGACTCTAAAGCCGTGACCTCACTCCCCATCCTTTATCCCACCTCTCTTCTTTCTTGCAGTTTACATGGAGGCGCCTCTGGTCTGCATTCACAGTACGGAATGATTTAGACTCCATGGAAGCTCAGATCTACACGCTTCCTCACTGATGGGCCGTCCACACAGCCCTCTGCAGCCGCACAACACATTAACACAAATAAGAGGATAATTGTTCTTTTGAAATTTCTTCTTACACTGAGCTCGTCATCTACTCATAGAACAAAATGGAACACATACAAAGAGTTGCTAATTAGCAGTTGGAAAAAGGATCTTTTTGTTTGTACAGGTCTGCAATGAACTCCCAAAATAATACCTCTTTCCAAGTATAAAACATTTATTTTGTTGCCAACATGGCTGGGAGCAATGTGAACTTGATATAGACTCTAGTTCACAACATTTCAGTAATGCCCTGTATCAGTCGACTTTCCGCCACCGTGGCAAAATTATTGAGAAAAACAACTAAAAGGGTTTATTTTAGTTCATGGTCGAAGGTTTATGTCCGTGGTCACTGGGTCTGGCTAGTTCTGCACCACCGTAAGGCCCAGCAGCATGGTGGGGAGATGGGAACAAAACTTCACATCTCACAGTGGCCAGGAAGCAGAGAGGGATGAAGGGCAGGGTGAGTTACTAAGCCCCATGACACCAGCACCCTCACGACCCAGCCATCTCTCAACAAAGCCACTGGCTGGGACCAAGCCTTTAGCACGGGAGTCTGTGTGGGGAACACTGGATCAGACCTCATCCCCCTCAGCAAATACCTGTTTTAAAGCATTTAAACAGTTTCAAAAAGGTACTATGCATTTAGGTAAGAGCTTTTATATATCTCACTTGAGCCTTATAAATTGTGGGATAGGCGGGCCCCTTCGGGAATGGTACAAACAGAAATTAGCATCATGGCAGAAGGGGAACTTCTTTCCTGAGAATGGAACAATGCTAGTGATTCTCACTGCCACTTAATATGGAGCCTGTGAGTAACCAAGGGACATGCCCTCCCCCACCCCAGTGTAACAAGAAAGGGAACAGCAAACAGTATCAACTGTCCACAGGAAGTCATCCACAGCAAAATAAAAACCTAGGCTGGAAGGACTTTTCTCTCTAGCTTTAAAGAAATGTCTTGTTTAACTTATACATAGAAAAAGCACTTGTGTGAAAACAGCAGGGTTTGGGGGGGCAGGGAATCCCAGGAACGAGCAGAATGGCAGGAAAGGTAAAGGGACAATGATCTTTTCACATGGACAGTGCCAACTGGTCAGCCTAGCACTGTCAATGGTAACTGCGCATGCCACTGTCCAATAATCTAAGAGACACAAGGAAGAACAGGAAAGGAAGGTTGCAGTCAAGCAGCTTACAACCTAGCTGGAAAGATATCATACACAGTGATAGAACATCCATTCACTGATGTCCATTTGCAGGAAGTCAATGAGTTTGGTTCTATGGGAAACGTAAAGGTGAATGAAATCCAGGGAGGAGACCTGTGCAGCCCAGGTGTGCAGGCTTCAGATGAAGGAAATCTGAGTGCCGAGGAGTGGTCCAAATAAAATGCTATGTGAATTTCAAAGAGGGATAAATGGATCCTATCTGGGGAGAGTTGGGGACAAGGCAGGGGCTGGGCATTAGAGCACATGGCTTTGAAAGGTTATGCAGGACTTGGGCATGCAACTGACTGCAATGAAAGACACTGGGAATGAGACTAAATGTGTGTAGTGACACAGATCGGCAAGTCAAAAGGAGAAAGTGAGGGGCTGTGAGGACGTGAGCAGTTGGTGCCAGGAGTTGGGTGGGATCTCGCCTTATGTGAAGGGATTTACAGAAAGCCAATCACAGGCTCACACAGTCTAAAGGGTTTTGGGGACTTAGAGGAATGCAGAACAGAGGAAAAAGTAGAACAGACTATCCTAAAAGAGTTTTAACGTCCATGATAAAGAGAGAAAGGAAAGCAGGTTTATACAGAACAGATAATTCTGAAGGACAACTGATAAACTGAAGGGCAGACGTGACTGGGACAGGCTGGTCCAGATAATACAAACTGATGCCAGTCCTGGTGCAGCCAAGCCAGAAACTAACCCTGGGGCCAACCAGGATTCTGGTGTCCTCTTAGATAAGCTTGCTATGAAATAACATTGGCCCAAATAAACCAGCCCTCAAGAGCCAAGCCTTGAAACAAACATTTTAACAAACCCATAGAGAAATGATCACATGTACCCCCAAACTCTCTTGGGCATCATTTTGGCAGGGCATTTTAATCGTTTGATACCCCTAGTCCCTGCTTTGAGGACTGAACCCAAGATCTCACATATGCAAAGTACAAGTTCCACCAGCTGCATCCCTCTCTTGAGTGAGACGATCCACTTATGCTCACCAGAGAAGACAGAGGCTTTCCACTATCCGCGTCAATACTGGCAAGCACAGCACATGCGCAATAATTCCAACTGCTCTGACTCTACACAGGGCTGCAGTGGTCACAGTGATCAAGACTAGCACAGGTCAGCACAAAGGCAGAAGGGTGACTCCTTCCGAGGGTCACTTGGAACTCTACTGAAAATCAATGGAGCTGCTTTTCGATTACCTTCAGGCTTTCCTGGAATGGGCGAGTTAAGGAGGCCCAGAGTAGTCTCTTGGGGTTGAAAACATGATTCCTCACCATACACCCCAGTGCAGACCACTGGCTGGACACTCACTTTTTGGGTGCACAGGTTTGAACACATTCACTGTGAATGTAAATTATCACAGAATCACTGACATTAGTTTCACTTCAGCTTACATGAGTTGGACGAGCTGAGGCTGAACTCAGCACACCATGACTCAGATGTTACCAGGGACCTTGATGCAGAGGTTCCAACACAAGCTTTAAACTCAACTAGAACTGATGAGAACTTCAGCTACAACACATTGTAAATGTGGGACCTCAAAGAAGTCAGTTAACGCCTCTACATTGAAAAAGGAAAGGCACGCTATATCGTAGAGCCATCATCTAAAGGATAAACTATTTATTTGCCCCTTTTACCAGTTTCATCCTTTATAGCCTGCCTTACCAGAATACTCCATTAAAACAACAAATACACTAAAATGTTTAATACCCATATTAATGAGGTTCTCCTACAAGTAACAAAAACATCTATAGCTTGCCAAAAAATGTAGCTTTAAGCCTTTTGATAATCAAATGTCAATAGCAAAGCTGAAATAACCAGTAAAAATGTATTTGCAAGGATATTTTAAATTTCCACTGTCTTCCTAGAAGCCTAATATGTGCAGACATTTGCAACTGTTCCAGAGAAAGTTTTAGACATAGATTCAAAATAGAGAGTAACTACCAATTTTTACATTCTGTGTCAGACAGGTACCCATTGCTATGGCTTGTACATTTGACCAAATAAGCTATTATATTTATTCTCTTGACTTTAAAACATAGGAAATAGATAGCAGAATATAAACATTTCCCAAAACTATATTTGCCAAAGAGCCAATTTTCCTACGATTTACTCCTCCTCAGTTTCATTAACTAATATTTTCTGGGTGTCTGTTAGCACTTTGCTGTTAAGAGTTGGACAGCAGTCTGCATGACTGAATAGCCATGAGCTACCTAAATATATTTACGTACTGAAGTTTTTCTAGAATACAGATTTATATTATTACCTTTAAAAGTACCTTTTGTTTTTATAAATACATATATTTATCATCAAAAGTTCAATACATAATTCTGACCTCTAATGACCAATTTATAAATAATTTTAAGACAGAAAGTTTGTCTACAATATGGTTTATTTTTATGTATAGTAACAGCAATACATCAAAGAAAGAAAAAAATCAAACTTTTAGGATTTACCTGAAATAGGAATATTCTGTGAAACTGATAACTGCACGTCTCCTGTTCCTGGTGGCATGTCAACAACCAAATAGTCCAGTTGACCCCAATCGACCTAAAATGATACAAATGTCATTAAGTAACAATTTCTGTGAATGTTGATGTAAATAAATTTAACATACAAACAACACATCTAAAACAACAGCTACCCCGAGTCCCCTCTAGGTACCAATGCTGTGCTGTGGGCTAAGGACACGTGGTACACAGAGGGAGGCACTACCTACTGGACCTGCCCCGAAGGGTAAGCTTGAGATTCCAGGTAATGGGGCCCTAGACATACACGTTAATGGCCTCTTTCACTACGGTCTTCTAGTCAGGATAAATCATTTATTTTCAATGGATATAACTTACATTTTGTCTAAGAAGGTCTTAGCTTTTTGACTCATAGAGGTTTAGCTTCATATTTATTTGTTTGTTTTAGTATAGCATTTCTTATGTGAATAAATTTTTTTGTTACTTTTCTTTCATAAAAATAAACACACTAATAATGAAAACAAAAACTTAATAACAGGAAAATTCTTTAATTTTAACATGACTAATTTCCCAGTCCCAGTTGATTCTTTCTTTATAAGCACTGAGTTTTAAGAATTCACCATACAACCGAGTCTGTAACACTCAAGTTCACTTTAGACAGAGAAGCAGCCTGCACCCTTTCTCCTCAGCCACTTCTCCCTCGGCCTCTCTAGTCCCCGTGAAAGGCCTGGGGTCCTCTTAGTCACCTAAACTAGGAAGCTGACCTCATCATTAATGCTTCTCCTTTCCTCATTGCCCCCAGCCAGTTACGCACTCTGTCTGTTAGAACTCTAACACATCCGCTTCTTCCTTCTACTCTCAAGAAACAAGGCCATACCCATCTGTTCTTACTAAAGTCTCTGGACCACTCTCTGCTTTTCTCATGGCCAATCCGATGTGTCCCTAGCAACATACACACACACAGAGACATGCACACACACACACACACACACACACACACACACACAGACATGCACACACACAGACACACACATACAGATGCACACACACACACAGACACACTCATGCGCATACACACATACACACCACACACACACAGATCTCATACACAGAGATCACACACACAGATGCACACACACAGACACATACTCATGTGCGTGTGTACACACGTACACACACAGATGCATGTACACACAGATGCATGTACACACACACAGATGCACACACACAATCATGTGTGTGTACACACATACACATACAGATGCATGTACACACAGAGAGAGATCACACACAGATGCGTGTACACACACACACACACACACACACACACACACACACACACAGAGCTACTGGGCTAGTCCTTAATTGCTTCTACTGCTCTTAGAATAAAGCCCGAGCTGCGGCTCCCCAAACTGCCTGGTCTTTTTCACTGACTCCACCTCAGTCAAAACTCACTTCCTCGGGGAGAACTGCCCAAGTCCATTAGACTAGACAGTGGGCCCACTGCATGTCACCAAATCACTTTTGTCCTTATCCAGTGAGAGTTAAAGTACTCATATTGGGCACTGCTTAATAACTGATAATTATATGATTATAAAATTTGCAACATTGGATATTAACAGGTAGCCATCAAATAGATATAGTATTTCCAGTTCTACATAAAGAAGGCGGTAAACTGTGAAACCAAAGGCCTGCTGACTTTCAGAAACTGAAGTGAGCAAGGACAGTCATCCTACTTCCGTCTCATGATCCATCTCTTGTGAAACCTACACGGAGTTAAACACCTTACCAAGAAATGGATAGCGCAGGAGCTGCTTGCTGCCCTTCAAGATTGAGGAAATGCAAGGCGTTGCGACTTTCTAAGCTATCCGGAAACTGTATAAATAATTCTATACTGTCTCACAAAAAATGCACCATGACGGTCTATACCGCTTTTTAAAGCACAAATGATTTAGTTAGTTAAACGTGTTTCTTCATACAGTACATGGTAACGTATCTTTTCAACACAGTTATTAGAATCTGTTAGGTATTTGGCATTGTTCTAGGTGATTGAGATAAAGCAATGAATAGAACAAAGTCTCAGTCATCATGGAACTAACATTTAGGGAAAGAAACAAACAGACAGGCCAATCAGGAAGCGGTGTGTGTCAGGAAGAAGACTAGAGAACATGGTCTCGTTCATCACGAAACTAACATTTTAGTGAAAGAAACATAGAGGTGGCCAATCCAGAAGCAGTGTGTGTTAGGAAAAAAAAGCTAGAGGCATCCCTCATTATAAAAAATTATTTGGTCCCTGATTTGGAATTTAGATCAGATAGGAAGAGGTTTCTGAGAAATCTCTTCAGTCTGAACTGTGGATACCAAGTGTGACAAGGTTGGATGGCAGAAGATTTATCAATGGATTTCACTGACTCTCATCCCCAGTCACGTGGCAAAGAGGACTCGCAGAGGAGGGTGAAGGGAGGCTGGAGGAAGGGCCTACTCAAGAGGTGGTCAGGACCCTGGTCAGGACCTGCCAAGGCAGAGAGCTGACGGACAGCTCTCCAGCCGGAAGTCCTAGAAATGAGAGAGCATGGCACACTGAAGGCCGGCTAGGAAGGCGGGTCAGTCCTCCTAAAGTGGCACCCACCCCCACAGCCATTCGTCCCTGCCCTTCCCTGACACCATTTTTATTCAAAGCATCCATCAGTAGCTGACACATTATACAGTGATTTGCTTTCGGCTCCCTTGTGATTTCATAAACAGATAGTGGTAGAATGATATAGTTTAAGAAAATAATGAATACAGATTGATTTTCAATAACTTAGAAAACAGTTACCCTCAAGCTACTCTTAGTTGCTGTGGTGGTTTGAATGTAATTGGCCCCCATAAGCTCATAGGGAATGGCACTGTTAGGAGGTGTGGCTTTGTTGGGGTAGGTGTGGCCTTGTGGAGGAAAAGTGTCACTGTGGGGGTGGGCTTTGAGGTCTCCTTTGCTCAAGCTCAGTGTGACACTCAGTTCACTTCCTGTTGCCCGAGACCAAAGATGTAGAACTCTCAACTCCTTCTCCAGTACTATGTCTGCCTGCATGCTGCCATGTCCCACCAGGATAATGGACTGAACCTCTGAACTGTAAGCTACCAATTAAAGGTACCCTTTATAAAAGTTGCTGTGGTCATGGTGTCTCTTCACAGCAATAAAAACCTAACTAAGACAGCTGCCATCTATGAAACTCTCCCCAGGAAGATAAAGGACATTTCCTCTTTTTCTGTCCTCATCTGAGACTGCTAGTATTGGCAGATGGGGCAAGTCTCTTCATTTCAGAGAATACCAGATGCCTAGTGCCAACAATTGATCATTGTTGTTCCCTGCCATTTAAGCATATTGATTATGATACTTCCAATTTCTTATTTCAGAGAACCAAGGTTCCAGGGAACTAAAAATATGTCACTCTTACAGTAGTTCATTTCAAATGACTCTTAAATTGAATTCCAACTATCTGAAGAGCGAGCTGGCCCAGGACCTCTGTGATGCATACTGACATTCTGTAGAAAAGCTTACTGACTGGAACAGGACTGAACTCCCGTCAAGAAGCTAATAACCACGGCCTTCGATCAGCAGACGGGTGTGCTGGTGCCATGGCCTTTGGATGTGGCCTGTTGAGTGCTCATGACAGGAACTGCTCTGCTGGGACCGACAGTGACAAACTTCTTGAACCAGCTGAGAAGTTCATTCATGGGCCCTTTCTATTAGTCTACATCTACAACCGGGCCATAAGTGTATTCATGTTGCTAGCATCTTGTGGAAAGATGTCTAAATGGTTGCTAGTCTGATCTGATTTTACTGTTGTTGTTCATTTAAAAAATTTAATTTTTCACTACTTTTGACAATTTCATAATTCATACAAAGTACTTTGATGATATTTGACCTCCTCCACCTAACTTCAAGATTTACCCCTAAACTCTCCCTCCCAACTTCGTGTCCTCTTTTTTGTAATAGTGCACTGATTCCAATCAGTGTTGCTCCTAACTCGTGAGTGTGGAGCCATCCATGGGAGTGTGGTCTGTCTCTCAGGGATCATATTAATAAAGAAACTGACTCTCTGTTCTCCAGAAGCCATCAACTGCTAATAGCTGCCTAGCAAAGGGTTTGATCTGATTCTCAATAGAAAATGTCCCTGGAAGAAACTGACCCATTTTTTTCTCATTCAAAGCACTTTCTCCATCCTTACTGGTATCCCCCAAAAGTTCACACACTAAAAGCTCAGTCTTCAATGTGACAATGTTGAGAAGTAGTATGGCTTTTAAGAGACACTGTTATGTAGTTATCCCCCACCCCCGCCCCAATAAAGTGCATCCGAGAGAGAGAGAGAGAGAGAGAGAGAGAGAGAGAGAGAGAGAGAGAGAGAGGACTATTAGGACTCAGAAAAATCAAGGAAAAACAAAAGGCGGTAAAAATCACAAGTCTTAGGAAGTTGCTGAAACTTACAAGATTCACAAGGCCCTTCTTCAAGGTAACAACTGCCAGAAAGAGACTCTGATAAGCTAAGCTGTCTGCATGTCATGCAGGAAGTTCCAGGGATTCAATTCTGAGAATCATCATCATTGCTGGGGCAGACTTTTCTGTGAGTCATCCATGTGCTGTGACCTCTCACTCATATTCCTCTAAATATGCTCAATAAACTTACTGGCTCACCAAGCTCAATTTAGGTGGAAAAACAAGCTTCTTTGATATGTCATTGGTGCCCTCTGTGGGGAGTAAACAACTCTCCGTGCTCCACCTCATGCTGCCACCACAAAAGTCACACAACCAGTACAACTTAGTGCCCAACAATTAGGTCAGACACAACTACCCATAAAGGATATCCACACTGGTCTACTAGAATGGGGCGGGTCTTAGAGAGAGCTGCTGTAAAAGAGCAAGCCTGTGCCCTGGATCTATTTATCTAGCTTCCTGTCTCACATGATACTCTTGCATGGGTTCCTACCATGATGGTATCCACCATATTGTGACGAACAAGGGGGCCCCCACCAGAAGTCAAATAGATAGAACCAGCTGATCTTGAAATCTCAGCCTCCCAAACTGTGCGTTAAAAAAGCATC